AATACGTTTCAGCTCTCGTCTTAGTCGGTCAATCGAACACTCTATCAGACACAGCGCCCTGGGGAAAAGATCCCCAAGACTCTCGCAAGGCTGAACCAAGACTCGCCCAAGACTGGACTGCCTCAAGGCTCCGTCGCCCCTGGACTCTCTCGGACTGGACTCGACTCTCCAGGACTGCCTTCTCTCTCTACTGCGTCTGTCGTGGAGTATTCGCCAAGACCAACTCAAACTCTCTTTATTCATTTTCAAAACTCTGACCAATTACAATGCAGTAAAAAGACTCTAGGGCGTAACCTTCAATCATAAAGCCAATCACACTAAGTACTGAATACGTCATATCTTTTGATTAATCGTTCACTACATTAATAACTACGGATGTCAGAATAGCGACGGTATCTTGTAATTAGTTCCAAACCACTGAACCAAGTTCCGTCCAAAACTTCAAATAGACCTAAACGATGACAGACATAACACAGCAATTCGCTAATAATCAACTAATTAAGTCGGTCAACAGATACGCGAAAACAAATTCATGACAGAAATACCGTAATACTTTACTAACAGTGTCAATTGTACATAATACAAATTATTTTTTGCAACAACAAAAACATCCAGATGCATAATTTATCACAGCAACCGCATGTTTCAACGTGTTCCTAATATATCATGTGATATGTAATATCAAATTTACATGCGAAAAAGGTTCCGGGCTGCAGTCGGAGATAAGCTTTTAGAACATATATAATATTATATTATATTTTTACGATGACCTTGCGTCAAACTACAATTTTTTTATATGAAAGCAACTTACTTAGAAAATTTGCACACAGATATGTTTAGTATACTATGGTAAATCTTCTGATAAACGATATACAACGACACACTTCGCATTTAAATTGTAGCGAGAACAGAATGTTTGTAACTCATTTCGTTCCCACATTTGATACACTAAGACGTGAATTGTGTTATCCGTGTTTTAATCGTCTGTATAGCAGTCAGAATTCAGTACTTTGTTGCGCTCGTACGAACGTTTTATTTCTAAGATGATGTCTACTACATAGAAACTTTTTTAAAAACTGGATTGTTTGTGATGTTTTATGTTGCATATTATGACTTTTTATCACGTGTTTTTTTACTGATACTTATTTCTGATCCCTTCACAGTCGTCTTCATTGGCGGAGTGGTGGCGTGCTTCACATATCGCTATTTACACGACTTGTCAACAAGTGTCTTGAGACCATTGGATATCGCCAACTATTGGAGAACAGATTGGGTTGCTATGGAGTATTCCTACACCCTCGTCGTTTGCAGCATCGGTGTGTTCATTTTCAATATCATCGTCATCGGCATTACGTCATGTTGTCACGGTTACCAATCACGCAATGACACTCACTCACAACAACATTCAAACAGAAGTAAACTTCGCGAATTCACAGCCCACTGCCAAGAAGAAATGCGACATGGACTATCATACTGAGTCCACGAACAACCCAATAAGACGTTGTTTCAATATTTACAAGTAAAAATGTATACTTTCAGTCATGTTCGGGAAGGTTTCGTTGCCATGATGTGAAAAGACATTAACACCTTCCTTTGCTCGTATGTAGATCTGAGTAAACGATTATGTCTTCCACTCTAATTTTAACCGTCTCCCTCCAGTGCCCATCCCCAATTTTAAAGGGCAGTGGTCGTCGCGCAACGCGTGTTCTAATTTCACGTAAACAAACAATGTATTTTACACGCGTTGTGTACGTCTCACTTAGTCTCATATCGAACAGGACGCGGCGTGACGACCACCAACATTTATGTGTATATGCTCCTCTCCAGAACACGTATATATCTGGGCCATATACAATTTACATTGGGGATGGAGGGTTAGGGTATAGGATAGTGAGGGCGCCTAAGGAAGACTTCCCGTTTTTGTCAAAGGCAGATAATACCAACTTGAAGACAAGTTTCTTTCAGAACTTGTTAACGTCACTTTACTCAGAACCGTTATATTTGATGACGAAATTTAAATAACGACGATTTCATATATGTTTATAAATATACTGTAGGAAGCATTTGCCAGGCCATCCACCCATCAGAGTCGAGACCTAGAAGCTACGTAATCCAGCTATTGGTGGATATCATACAACATAAACGCCTAGGTATACTGTAAGCAATTGTAATCGGAAGTTTGAGAAGTGGGAGTTGGAAGCCGGGCACCTTGGTATCCGGTTGACGAGCGATAAAGCTGGACTGTCTGTAGTGAAATAGTGGATCGAACTAGTACCGCTACTAAGTATCCGCCACGCTCCAGTCGTCGAAGTTCCTAGTTCCACTATGCTACTTTTCGTAACACATCTTTCCAGGTTACGGTTAGAGTACAATCAGAGGTTGACACTGTGGGTGGAAAATGACAGAAAAATTGCCAGTGTAATTTTGTTCCCGCGACGATGCTGCTGCTGCTACATTTGTTTGCTTTAATGTTCTCTGTGCAAACTTTTTTTTCTTTCAAAATCTGCCCGAGCTACTAGTAATAGACAAGACACTGTTTTTTTTACGGTTTGTTTACCTTATTTTCGGTTATTTTTCAAGACAGAAGCGAAGTAACGATAAACAATTTTTAACGTCGTATATAGTATGTATACCTAAATATGACGTATAGCTAAAGAACACAATAATTATATATTTGAAAAATAACGAGCTTTATAAAAGCTGTATCATTCCAAATTTGTGAAACATCACTCCCAGAACAAGCTAAAAACATGAAACGTGAAAAAAAGTAAGGTATTAAAATTAAAAAAGTTATACAAATTAAAAAGTAGATACCCTGCCATCGCATTTCTAGACAATTCATTTCGAGAGTCTGGATATTGTTATCCCTTAGAAAAATGACAATGACAGACAACAATGCTCAGTGAGTACCAATTGTTTTCAAGTCAATAACAGATTACATAGGAGGCTTCATACTTCATATTAATGACTCCTCGCCCATCCACAATCTCACATCTCAGGTTGTATATACTTGCAATGAAATCATTATATTATAAGATAACATTTCTGTTCGGTTCCGTTATCGTGTCGACCAAGGTTTAGAAACAAATCATGTATAGAAGTGTATTATATATACAGTATCATCGAAAATAATGTTTCTAAAGATGCGACAGGCACATACTAGTAGTTTTGCAAGGCAAATATCAGTTTCATAGTAGCGCATGGTTCAGTGCTTTTATCTGGAATGACAGCGCCCTCATTGTTCTGTGTGGCTGGATATGCTCGTATATTTCAGGCGGAATGTAATCCCGGGCATAAATATTAGTGGCAGTATTTTTTGTTTTGGGTTCATACCTACAATTATCTTCACTTGCATTGTCATTTGCAATCAGTTTTTTTTTCTACTCGTTAATGAAATTTTCATGATGCCACACACAGTTGTCAACATTTTATATTATTCCCAGATGCAATTATTTTCTATGTTTTATTATTTTTACGTGTAAACGACTGTGTGCGGTTGAAACTAAATGCGACAGATCAACATAAACCACGATAGTAGTAGTAAAGACAGACGCCAAAATGAGTGGTAAACGTTGCATGACAAGTTCCTAAAAATGGCACAATTATTTACATATAAAAAAAAAGTACATCCACGTAGGTATAAACTTTATTTTAGTCTTCCCATATGTTTAATTGAAGTAAAAAGCTCTTCCTCGCCTGTAGTCATAGTAACAAACAATAAA